GAGAGAGAGAGAGAGAGAGAGAGAGAGAGAGAGAGAGAGAGAGAGAGAGAGACTGAGCCTGGTGTGGGCTTTTGAAACCTAAAGGCCTACCTCCAACAAAGCCACACCTCCTAATCCTTCCCAAACAGTCCCACTAACTGAAGACCAAGCATTCAAACATAGGAACTTATGAGGGCCATTCTTTTTCAAACCACCACAAATACTTAAGACATTTTGTAATGGAAAATTTCAATGTGGCCCCCCAAATGACTCAGCGAGGAAAGGTGCTTGTCACCAAAAGTCATGACCCGAGGTTAATTCCCCAAAACCACCTGGAGAAAGAACAGACTCCAGCAAGACTTCCTCTGACCACATTCCTGTAGTCTCTCTTTCACTAGCAAAATCATTTTTAAAATATATTTTTTATTTTTGAGAGTATAGTTATATCATTTCTTCCTTCCCTTTCCTCTCTGCAAACCCTTCCGTATACTTCCTCTTGCTCTTTATTTCAAATTAATGCCCTCTGTTTTCATTGTTATTGCATGCAATATAGATAGATAGATAGATAGATAGATAGATAGATAGATAGATAGATAGATAGATTCTGAAATATAACTTGTTCAGTCTACGTCTATTACATGTCTGTATGTTTTCAAGCCTGGATAGCCAAATTGGTGTGCTCTTCCCTGGGGAAGCTTGTGTCTCCCACTCTCAGAACTCCTTAGCCACCTGTAGTTCTTGTGTAGGGTGAAGCCTCATGGTCTTTGGCCATCCGAGTTAGCACATTAGGGTGTCTGTTGTCCTTGTTGAGCCCATGCTTAGGCAGTCATGCTGGTGAGACTTTATGGTTGTAACTTCTAGAAGACCCTTTTTACTAGAAGACACTTTTTAAAAAAAAGAAATAGTAAAAGTCTTGAAAGAAGACAAAACCTTTTTCAATCTTTTTGTTTATATTTTTAAATGTTGTTATCGGAATAAAGCTTATTAGGTTTAAAATGTCCATCACGTGACTGAACTAGATCTTAAATTCCATTAGGTGGGTTTTTCATTTTTTCCTCTTAATTATCAGATGGGATGGGGTGAGGAGAGAGTGAGATTCTATTTTTAAGAATAGCTTAAGATACATAAGACGGGAAATTAAGGCCTGCCTGTTCCAAATCTAAGTAGATGGCTCAGCTGGTGGGAAACTTCAGAGAGGAAAAGACGAGGTTCAAATGCCACTTGTGCCAGAACCTTATGAGAGCAGAGAACATTAGTTTCAGGCAGTCTGTGGGACACAACCTGGATATGATAGGCAATGATAAGGCTCTGACTGTGGGGGTGACCCCCAAAGCTGCCCCATGCTACCCCCACCTTCCTTACCCACCCTTAACCGGTACATAGCCACTCGTAGCTCTAAAGCAAATAGAAAGTGTCTCTGTTCTGCAAGGGGAGACAGATTTCAAAGGAGTTGATACCAGTTTGTGCCACAGAATACCCATCTGACCTCTGTGATACACCCTTCCTGACACACATTGATGGTGTGTTCACCCCCATCGCCCCCAAGACCCAGACTCAAAGTCTAAAATGCCTGGTGAGTACATGTCTCTTTACCAGGAAAATAAAAAGTGTTAATGTAGAAGTGAAAAGATGTTGTCTGCCCCCACACCATGCAGAGTAAAGGGAAGCTCCCTATGCCATTCCTGCCCAGATCACCGAAGAAGCAGCATGTGAGCTGACAGCTCAAAAAGGTACCAAGCCATATGGCTAACACACACAAGAATTATGGGTTACCATAAGATGTAAGAATTAGTTAACAAGAAGCCTGACCTAATGGGCCAATCAGTTTATAACCTAATGTAGATTCTGTGTGATTTTCTTTGGGACTTGCCAGTTGTGGGGTACCGGGTGGGACAAAACCCCAACAAGCCAGCTCTCAGGTTACAAAGGTGAAGGAATAGGATTACAATTCATAGTGAAATAAAATAGAAAGGGCATGACATCTGTGATGGTTTGAAAAGAAATGTCCCTGTTGGCTTATCTGAATGCTTTCACCAGCGAGTGGTACCGTTTGAAAGGATTAGAAGGGTTAGGAGGGGTGGCCTTGTTGGAGGAAGTGTGTCATTGGGGGTGGATTTTTAGGTTTTAAAAGCCCTTGTCAAGCTCAGTCCGTCCCTCCTCCTCTCCCTCTCTCTCTCTATCTCTGCCTCTCTCCCTCCTGATCAGGAAGTAACTCTCAGCCACTGCTCCAGGGCTGTGTGTGCCACAATGCCCCCTGCCCCAATGATAATGGACAACCCCTCTGAAAATGTAAGCAAGCTCCCTTTGAAATGTTTCCTCTTAGAATAGCTGACTTGGTCCTGGTGTCTCTCCACAGCAACCGACAGTGGCGAAGAAAACACATTGGTTGGTCCTGCCGGGGTGCAGGAGGAGAGGAAGCAGGACCCACTGCACAGCAGGATTTATGGTTGACAGTTAATGGGATAGTTCAAAACAGATGGCAGGGAGGATTTTAAATGTAAATGTTCCCAGAACAGAGAAATGATGTTTGAAATGACAGACATGCCTGTTACCCTAATTCGAACATGACACATTATATACATGTCTCGAAATACCACACTGTATGCCAAATACATTCAATGGATACAAGCCAGTGAAAACATAAAGAACCTGTGTCTTTAAGAAGTTTAGTCTCCCAACTCTGGCAATTGCAGCTCTTAGGGTCATAGAGCAGCTGTGCTCTGGGAAGAACTATCCCCAACTATCATGGACTCTCTGCTTTTAAAGTTCACTGTAGTTTATTTGTGTGATCCCACATCACAGCTTCCCCAGGCCAGTTCCCGTTTATATTTGGTATTTCAATATAATTATTTAAAGCTTTTTTCCTCTTAAACTTATTTTGTAATTGGGCAATAAATATGATAGTCACTTTGTTCCTGTATTCAATTCCCAAGGGACTGAATTTTACCAACAATCCCATGAACCTGTAAGAGGAATTCAAGTCTCAGATGAGACTGCAGCCCACAGACAGTCCCTTTATTTCGGTCTAGAAACACCACAAAGAGAAGATCCTGCTAACACCACACCCCTGGATCAATGGCGATGGATGTAAACTTGTGTCAGGACACTGGCCTTGAGGTCATTTGTTACACGGTAATAGGAAATGGAGACAACGGCCTTGGGTCCGAGCCGATGCTTACTGCATTCCCTTCAATATTATGTGTTATAGATGGTATCGCTTTGGATATGAAGCCTGGAGGTGAAGGAAGTGAGGGAATGAACAGTTCATTCAGCCTGGCTCAGTAGCTTCGGGGACACGTTTGGATCAGTGAAATTGGTATGTGACAATCCTTGAAAGATTTGATTTTACAAATTAAAATAAGTTTAGATGTTTCTTTGAACAATTCAGAGAGTGATCCAGAGATGACTTCCTATCTGCACAGAAATTAAAAGGTACCACTATGTGTGGCGATATTTTGTTTGTTTCTGATAAATAAAGCTTGCCTGGAGATCAGAGGGGGGAGCTAAGCCACTAGTTAACCATAGAGGACAGGCAGTGGTGGCCCACACCTTTAATCACAGCACTGGGGACACAGAGGCAGACAAATCTCTGTGAATTCAAGGCCACCCTGGGCTACACAATAACAATCCAGTAAAAGAGAATCAGCGAGGCAGTGGTGGCTCACTCTTTAATCCCAGCACTAGGGAGGTGGAGATAAGAGGGGTGGTGACAGGAACTCAGTGCATTCGGTCTGAGGACTTGGAGAGGTAGGAAACCCCATTCCATCTGAAGATTTAGGAGAGGTAGGATACCCCATTCGGTCTGAGGACTTGGAGGGGTAGGATACCCCATTGGGTCTGAGGATTTGGGAGAGGTAAGAAGAATCTTTAGTGGTTGCAGCTCTGCTTCTCTAATCTTTCAGCTTTCACCCTCAATATCTGACTCCGGGTTTTTATTAATAAAATTGAGCTACAATTGTGCCAATTTGTCTAGGGGCACAGGAGACACATGTATACAACCACTGGTAGACACAGCTTTTAGCTGGTGCCATGTTTTCTTGTCTGCAGGACCCCGCTTCTGTCCAAATGGCAGTGGCATAAGCAAGGAGTGTTTATTTCTCAGTTAGGTCCAATTAGCTCAAGACCGGCCTCAAATTAACAGAGATCCATCTGCCTCTGCTTCCCAAATGCTGGGATTAAAGGTGTGCGCCACCACCGCCTAGCGATGAGAATTTATGTCTTTTACATCAACTTCAGTTTTCTTTGTAAAGTGAGTATATATGAGCAGGGACTTTTTTCCTCACCATTTTTTCCCTTGCAATATTGGATCATAAGAACCACTAGTATTTTGTGGTCTATTTGCACTCAGAGATCTGCCTGTCTCTGCCTCCTGAGTGCTGGGATTAAAAGCATGCGCCATCAACCCTGGGTGTGTATTTGCAAAGAATTAGTCTTCCACTAGAGCTGAATTACTACCTAAGAGGGCGCCACTGCTGGGTGTTTTAGTGTTTGGGATTCAGGAGTCAAGCCCTCACATATGTCAAAGCTGTGTATTCATAATGTGTCTGCACATTCAGCTGGGAGTTAGCAGGTTAGCAACGAAAAACTTTGGGGTGCCTTAGCACTACTACACCCCCCTCCTTGTGACTAATCACGGGTGCATTGGAGCTTTGAGTACTTTCCCTTGCCTTTGTAATCTTTCTTCCATAGACACAGGCCCTGGAACTGGGGTGAGACGACCTACAGGTGTTCCTGCACGTAATCACCATAGCATTGATTAATTAAAGTTAGCCAACCGATAAATGAACTAGTCAAAATGGTAGACAAGTGATTTCTGGACTTTCCCTTTGATTCTGTACCACCCTGTACCACCCCCTCCCTAATTCTGTGATTTTCCCTTTAAAAGAACCTGTAATAGACAAAGCCGGGGTCCTTCTCCTCTCGAGGCTGAGGGACCTCTGCCATGGCAGAATAAAAATTCCTCTTGCTATTGCATCAACCGTACTGAGAGTGTCTCTTGGGGCAACCTCCTCCTTGGTGGGTCTTTAGGGCCCAACAGCAACACATGATGCCCAAGAGGAAGGAGATAGCATGTGTTGCTTGCTCATAAAGACTTTTGGGGTATTCAGATTTGTTTAAGAACTGGATGTTTCAATCCTAGAGAACTTAGACAACAATGAGGACACTAAGAGAGACTTACATAGATCTAATCTACATGGGAAGTAGAAAAAGACAAGATCTCTTGAGTAAACGGGGAGCATGGGAACTTTGGGAGAAGGTTGAAGGGGGGAAGGAAAAGGCAGGGAGGGGAGCAGAGAAAAATGTAGGGTTCAATAAAAATCAATTTAAAAAAGGAAATATATAAACAGAAAAAAAAAACACCAAAAAGCAAAAAACCTGGGTGTTGGAGGCCATGTTGGCTCCTGGGGTTATACAGATCAGGGCCGACTGTACTGCCTGGCACAATGGAGACGTCTGAGCCCAAGCCGTGGCTGGGGACCATTTGTCTATCCATGGCCCTGCCACAACCAGTCTGTGTTGAGGTTCGTGGCTCCTGCTGAACCACCACATGGGGCCAGGTTGGAGCCCTGGGACAACCTGCTGTTGGGCCCATCCAGATCTGAAAGGCCTGAACTGTCACCTGTGGCCATGGTGACATCCAGTCCCAAACTGCTGCCCATGACCATGTCTGGGTCCGCGGCCCAGCAGCAGCGGAAATCTGTGTGGATATCCGTTGCCTGTGTTACCACAGGGGTCTATGAGAATGCTGAAGTACAAGGGCCTGCTCTGTTCCCCTCGCAGGAGAGCCGACCTGAATCTCCTCAGCCTTGGGATTATAGACCCTGAGCGCTGCCTCCTGTCTGCCTAGGGAAAGCTCGCCCCACCCCAAATGGAAGAGCTGGCCTCACACTTGGAAGGGTTCACTCTACCAATCACCATAGCCTGGGAGAGTTGGCCCCGCTCCTCACCTGAGAACGGTGTCCCAGTTCCACGGACTGAACAGCTCAGCTGCTCTCTGGTTTGGTGCACTTAATTTCATATTTCGGAACGTTTATGGCATTCTCATATGAGAAACCTGTTACCTGTACTTGAATGTTTCACTAAGATCCCAGAGAATTCAGCCAAGTAGTGTACAAACCATCCTTTCCAGAGAAAGCCGCCCTCTGGCTATCTTCAAAAGCTACCTTTGCTGAAGCTTGGTGTTGTGCGCGCATACTAACCAGAAGCTGATACTGGGCGTTGTCTACCACTTTCCATTTTACTGAGGCGGGTCTCACTGGATCTGGAATGTCAATTCAGATAATCTGGTTGGCTACTTGGCCAATAGTTGGCCCTGTCTCTGCCTCTCAAGGATTAGGATTATAGGAGGCTGCCATGCCTGCCCAGATTTTTATGTGGATTCTTAGATTTGTGCATCAAGCAACAAACTTTTATTCAGCCATCTCCCCGCCCTCCTAATTTTTTGAGGTCTCTTACTAAACATGGAGCTCACTTACACAGACTGGTCAGAAAGCCCCATGGGGGTCCTCCTGTTTCACTGATGATACCTGGGCTCTTCTTTACTATTTTTTTTTTTAATGTGATTGCTAAGTATCTCAATTCAGGTTCTTAAACTTGTGTATCATTCACTTTCAGTAAGGGAGCCACTTCCCAGCTCCAAACCCTTAATTATTATCTGTGGTCCATCTTCCTAAATGGGTTCCAAGTGTATCGAGATCCTCTTAACTGGCCAAAGACCAGCAGAGCCACTATTCCCTGCAGTGTGCCTTATAAGCACCAGCATCTCTGAGTATCTGTAATGTGCCAGAGGTCACAAAACATTAGGGATTCCATGGCCTTAAAAATGTCTCATGGTTGACTAACTCCAAGTATCTCTACATAGTTTGATTAATCTTGAATACTTAACATTAACCTCTACCTCTCTCCATTTTCATCCTGACATTAATTTTCTTAAGTCTAACTGGTCATTTTAATTGATAAATTAATTTTCATTCTTTAATAGGTAGCACTCAATCCTGGCTGGTCCTGCAATGCTTTTGCATAATGCTTGAAACATTGAAAGGGGCTGCCTTAAAAAAAAAAAAAAGTCTATTTCAAAAAGCCAGTCATGGCAGAGGGCACTATTTTAAGTCCAGCATTCGGGAGGCAAAGGAAGGCAGAGGCAAGCAGATCTCCAAGCTTGAGGCCAGTCTGGTAGACAGGATTGGGGGGGGGGCAGTGCTAGACAGAGAAACCCTGTCTCAAAAACACCACGAGCACCACCAGGGGGCTGGAGAGGTTAAGATGGCTCAGAGGTTAAGAGCACTGGCTGCTCTTCCAGAGGCCCTGAGGTCAATTCCCAACAACCATGTGGTGGCTCAAAACCATTTGTAATTCGATCTGATTCCCTCTTCTGGCATGCAGACAGAACATTGCATACATAATAAATTAATTAATAAAAAAATACCACCACCAAAATCCAACAAAAACTTTCAATTTTAAGTCTCCAAATCTATTGGCTTCATATATTCATGATTATAGAATATTCTGTCTTTAAGTAATATTCCTTAGAGATGTCAGGGAACATGCTAACAGAAATACATGTCTTTACTGGGACATTTATACATGGATACATGATAAAGCTAGCTGCTGTGTATTCTGGGCTAAAGGTATCATTAACACCCAATGATTGGCAAGGGCACAAAATGGAAAATCAGTATATAAGACCTGTTGAAAGTTTCAAAACTTCCATTACTTCAAAACTTTCACTGTGGTTATCAAACACTGTTTTAAACTCAGAAACCACTCAGATCTTATATTGCTATCTATAGGTGTTCTTGATAAACTTTACTAAGAATTTTACTTTTTAAGAACACAAGCCAGAACTTTTTAAAGCTTTGTTTCTACGTTCATTTCCAAAATCTAAAATAAAGCCTCAGGAATTCATGTTATCACATACATGAGACAGAATTCATGTCTGAAGATGTGGCAGAAATACATTGCAAGTCTGAAGAATCTGTACAATCTGTGAAAATAGTGCTTGTGCCACACACCTAACAAGTTCTGGCTTCAATATCCACTGCTGTCCTTCCGCCCCAAATTCCATGGCTGCTTATGCCCCCCCCCTGCTTCCCCAGCTACTCATTGCCTCTGCAGTACTTGTTAGTCACTAGCCCTCCTCTGTCTCAATTTTTAGCATTCTAGAGTAACCATGACTTATATACTGATAGTTAATTGTTTCATGGCCAGTGGTTCCCAATCTTCCTAATGCTGCGACCCTTTAATACAGTTCCCCAATGTTGCGATGACCCCCAACCAAAAAATTATTTTCATTGCTACTTCATAACTGTAATTCTGCTACTGTTAAGAATCATAATGTAAATATTTTTGGAGATAGAGGTTTGAGAACCACAGTTCTAGCCCGTGCTCCAAACAGCTGTGATTCATTGATGGTACTGTTTTCCTTATATTTTCTCTTGGGTCATTTCCTTGCTACATAGCTTAAATCCCAGACCGTCACCGCACCTTCCTCCTTTTCATTGGTGAGTCATGCAATCTTGGCAAAGCAAGCTCCTTGCTTAAATTCAGCTCATCGACTCTGCCTACACCCAGTGCTGCTTCACATCGATTCCTATCACCCCAAGGGACTTTTCAACTGGCAACTATTTCCCAGACTTGCTTTTCCATTCTTCCAATGTACAGCATTTATTTTGTTTTCTTTCAGTAACTGCTATCCATTTCCTATAAAATCTAAAACCAACCCCCCCCTGGCCAGCCTCCTGGGTCCAAACACCAAACTGGCTGGCCTAACCCTAATTCCACAAGGTAAAAACACCTCATGTCTCCCACCACACTGGCAGCCACTATCACTAACTTTGCCTCCTACTACACGGCCTTTAATGTTACCACCCATGTCCAAGTCAGCGTTTTCTTCCACCTGGACCACTGTAGTAGCTTCCTAAATCCATCGATTCTCCTGGCTCTCACGGAACATGTCAATTTCCTCAGCAAGTACCAGATGAGCCACTACAGCTCCCATGAAAACAATCCTCAAATTTTAGGTATTCCAAAGTTTCAATCTTCTTTCAAGTTAACAAAATATTCAGACTCTAAAATTGTACAATCACTATCTTGGTATGACTGAATTTTTGGAGGAATTTCATGTTTCACATGCCAATTTAAAAGGTTGTATATATTTTCAAAAATATATTCTAGACTCTAGAACAGAAAAATACAAAATAACTGGCTGCCATGGATATAAACCCATGTTAGTTCAATTCATACAACTTAGCAAATTTAAAAGCCAGAACAGAAAATTAATGTTATCAGTTCATTTTCCTTAGAAATCCTGATGTCCCAACTTAAAAACTAAAGAAAAAATTAGCCAAAACTGTGACAATGTCATATATTTGCAATGCTTTCGAAGCCCAACAGTAATTTTAAAAAGAAATTAAACATGCTCTCATTGAATTTTTAAAAATCTATACAATTCAAGCTAATGAAATATTTTATTATACATAGTAAAAGTGGCTTTTTTAAAAAAAAAAAAAAACATTTTCAGGCCCAGATGTCTGCAGGAGTACATGAGGAATGGATTCCACTCGAGTATAAGCAGCAAACTACTGAATGAAACCACAAATCCACCAACTCCTCATAGCAAATGCTAACATTCACCAAGGCTTGAACTCCTGTGGCGTCAGTGATATATTTTAAAGGATCACAAACATGCTCATGATGCATAGGAAGATGGAGAACCAAAGATGCAGCTGCACACCATGTGGACGCCCAAATTTCCTAACTTACAACTTGTTAAGAAGGACAATATACAAAGAAAGTATTTTAAAATAGTGTGTATGATTCACTGGCAAATGACGTTTTTACTCAAATAAATACCAAATTTTGCCATTTTAATGTCACAATGAAATTCAGTTTCAATCCAAGGGGAGGGAGAATCAACTGAGACATGGTCATGAGTTTAGGATTATATATATATTACAATCTGCCTTATAATACACTTGTGGCTTTGTGATAAAAATAACTCAGGGACATATGGAATTCAAGCTAATTTGCATAACTGTCACAAGAAAAAAAGCATTAAATGCATTTCTGAAATAAGTATTCTCATTTAATTTCAGAATCTCAAAACAGCAACAGACCTTGGCCTTGTTTTAAAAAAGTTTAGTTAGACACTAAGCTAGCTAAATAACCTTACTGCGAAGGTTTTAACATAACAGGTATAGAAAATGCTTTCCCTCTAATCTCAATCTGACATACGTGGAAGAGGTGGAAGGAAAAGGTAGACAATTTCTTTAGCAGCATACATGGCTAAGTCCATCAACCACCTTAACTAGAGTGTCTGTTACTGACCCCACTAAAAATACCTGGGCTAACATCAAAAGTTGCCCCTTTCATAAGCCAAAGACAATTTCAGGGTCCTGGTAATTAAAATACTTTTGAAATATTTCAAAACCCTTTAAACATAACCCAGAGGAATCACCTCTTCACTGTAAGGAAGGAGGAACAGAGTAAAAGACTCATACTAAACTCATTTCCAACTCTCAGAACAAAAGCAATGAAAACAATGGCGGATTAGCTAAGCTCTGTGCTCTAACCAAACTAGTCAATTACAGTGATTTAAGTGGCAACAGCCCATCTGACTGGGCAGCCTGACAGTTCAGAATACTTTTCGCAATAATTGTTTTTTTAACGTAAAGACACTAAAACAATCTGGTCATGCAACTTTCATTTATGCATTCTGCATCTCTTTGCCAATCTTGTAGCTAAGGATCTTGTTCCAGTCGATCTTAGTACGTGTAACTGGCAACTGTCGACGTAAGGCTTTGAAGGTAGTGTCCGACATCGTCTGGTAATTCTCACTGATGGCAGTCTACAAAACACAAAACCCCCAAACCCCAAAAAACAGCAGTTAGACATTTAAAGCAAACCAAAGAAGCAACTTCTTACAACATAGGGTGTTCTCAGAATAATATTAAGCAGTCCGTTTCACTGTCTAACAATGAATTAAAAACCCCAACATGGACGGACTTAAAAGCTGTTTTAAAGTAGCTATTGAATTTCAGAACCAGCCTCAGTGAACACAGATACTTTTGATAATCATACCTGGTATTCATTTTCTGCAGCTTCTACAATCTTTATAAATTCTTTTGCTGTTTGCACCTCATTCTGAAACAAAAGAAAATGTAAATAAAAACTGAACCGTTACTTTTTAATTTACTTGTTTTCCTTCACTGCTGGTCTTGAACTCAGGAATTTGTAGATGTTAGGCAAGCATACTACCTGCCACTAACCCACTATTTTTAAAGCCATGTTTAAGTTATTTAATAAATAGTGCAGATGAAGATTCTAACAAGCAAAGAAGATAACAATGTGGCTGGAGAGATGGCTCAGAGCTTAAAAGCTCTTGCTGCAGTCAGGCATGGCGGACACGCCTTTAATCCCAGCACTAGGAGGCAGAGGTGAATGGTTCTCTATTAAATTGAGGTCAGCCTGATCTACCTAGTGACAGAGATACATAGTGAGGCCCTGTTTAAAAAATAAGAATAAAAATAAAAAGAGGTCTTGTTACACAATCAGGAACAGCAGAGTTCTGGTCATAGGAACGAAGTCACAAGCTGGTTGTCCTACAAACATCCTCAATTCCAGCTCTAAGGGAGCAACAATTCTTCTGGAGTCCACACTCACACGCATATATACCTTCATGCAGAGATACACACACAAATACACACACTTAAAAAATTTATAAAATTGATTATACTCTATGTCCAAGGAGAACTAGGCAAAAATATTTTTAAAGGTCACAGAATACGACTAGTCTCAGTATTTTTAATTAAGTGATGTTTTAGTAATATACAGAAGAAAAATCCAATTACAACATGTTATAGATTCCTAGTTAATCATGTTTGCCTAAATATTTATTGTGCAATATTTACCATGACTTTTAAAACCCTAACAATTAAGAAGAGCATTTTTAAAACTGAAGTACATTTATTCTAAATATTTTCAAAAACAAATTTTATCATGTAAATATATGGTTGTGCTTGTTTTTCTAATAGTGACACAAAGCAGGCTTGAAGGACAATGAAAATGACTCACTTGGTCATAATCAACAGCTTATAAAACCAGCAACTGAATCTGGAGGATTCTACTACTGGTTTAAAAAAAGGAAGGGGTGAAGAGAGGGGATTAAGATTCTTATCTCTTAACACTGGAGACACAAAGTTCATAAAAAGATCAACTATCTAAATCCTTTAAGATTGTTAATTATCTGGAAGCTCTCTGTTAAACACAAACAAACAAAAGCACATACCAATATCCCCTCTATTAAGTATCAATGCAAATGGGCCTGTCAATCAACCAACAGAAAAACCTTGAAGAGAAGCTCTGTTCTAAAGACTTTAGAAATCCTATGAAGTCTACCCAAAATCTATGTCAGCACAACTGTCTATTGCCACTGTCCATTCATACCTACCCAGGGGTAAGTATGTCATGTCAGTCTCTTTCCCTAGAGAATCCTCCACTCTGCTCTGGAGTACACTATCCTGTCTCACTAGCTGACTGGAGTCCAGACAAAAATTCAGGTGGTAATAAAGTATCAATAGCTATCTATGTTTTTAAATGAAATATCACTGTCAAATTCTCTAATATAGTAATATGTGAATATGCTGTATTTATTTGTATACATGCACTTATATAACAATGAAAAAACATTAAAACCTCTTAAACACTTAGAACTACAATACAAGTGATGTCTGATTACTATGACTAATTCATGTAACACTAGCCTATGAGTTTTGCACAAGTTTTTTTGGGGGGGGAGTGGGGGTAGAGATTAGGGTTTCTTTGTATTGCCTTGTCTGTTCTGAAACTCACTCTCTAGACCAGGCTGGCCTTGAACTCACTGCGATTCACCTGCCTCTGTCTCCCAAATGCTGGGATTAGAGGTGTGTGCCACCATAGCCCGACTAGTTTTTGCACAAATCTTACAGTAATTTTCCATAATCTCAAACTACCCAATAATGTACCATGTATCTTTGTTATCAAACTCTCCAATGATGTAGCATGTCTTTGTTTTTTGATCAATATGATAATTGCAAATGGCAATTTCCCCAACTTCAAGGAAATAATATTTTTTTGGAGTATAGATAAGTTGATATGACTGGTAAAGTTTATAAAAGCATCAGCATTAAAAGTAGAAACTACCTAAACAATAAGAAAAAAACAAACAAACAAAAAGGAGTTAGGTCTGGTAACCACACTAGCAATTCCAACACAAGGTAGGCTGAGACAGGAGAATTTGGAGATAGAGGATAGCTCAGAATACACAAGAACCTGTATCAACAGATATTATTTTTCTTCTCTGGTAGCACCTGGCCTAAAAGAATCATAAATGGTTTTTTAAAGCTAATGCTTCTGTAAAATTAATACTAACACTACACTGGTACTTTAGTATATAAACACAAGTGTCTAAAGGAAAATGTCACTGTTAGTATCTTAGAAGTTAAAAAAATTCAGCAAGAAAATAGATGCAGTCAATTAAATGAACAGTGAAAGAACTCTGGGGAGAAATAAAAAACAAATGTAAAACTCTTCAATTTGAAGGAACTTAAAACATACAGTATGGTTTCAAAGTTAGGTACAGGGTCATGTACTTATCTCCATGACCTTGGTTTAGGCAGTAGTTTCTGTTACTATAACAAAAAGCACAAATGATAGAAGAGAAAATGAATACAGTAAGACTAAAGTTTTGTTTTGCAAATGACCTTAAATTGAAAGATTAAACACAGAAAAGTGAAAACATTTATAAATTACCTGATCCCAGACACACATCTAAAATATACATAAAATTTACAACTCAATAGCAAAAGCAGAAATAAGCAATTAAGAAATTGGCAATAGGGGCTGTTGTGGGATATTTGTACACAGTGTGAAAATGCATTGCTGTAATAAAAAGCTGAATGGTCAAAAGCTAGGCAGGAGGTATAGGCAGGACTTTCAGCACAGAGACAGGAAGTAGGAGGAAATAATCCAGGTTCAGGGAGATGTCAAGAGACATGGAGGGAGTCAACCATACAGAATGAAAGAAAGGTAAAAAGCCACAAGGCAAAGCAGAGATTACCGTAAATACTGTAAATGGGTTCCTTTAAGTTATAAGAGCTGGTGGAGCAAGTCTACGCTAAGGTCAAGTGTTCATAATCAGTAAGTCTCATGTTGTCATTTGGGAGCTGGCTTGTGGGACAGAGAAAGACTTGTTACAAATGACACCTAACAAGGGGCATACATTTCCACTTAAAACCTGAGAAAGCTTTAAAAAAAAAAAAAAAAGTTCCAGCCAGATAGTGGTGGCACACACCTTTAATCCCAGCACTCAGGACACAGATATAGGTGGATTTCTGTGAGACTTTGAGGCCAGTCTGGTCTGAAGAGCGAGTTCCAGGACCGGCTCCAAAGCTACAGAAATCCTACCTTGAAATAAGTTCTAAACACACAAAGTAAAATGCAGCTTCCTAGTTCTGCAGTCTCTCATGAGGGCCATGGTAGAGAAAGGTGTCTCCTGATAGTTTTCTGTCTGCTCATTCAGACAGAAAATGTTACAGAGATGCAGTAAAGCAGGCTCAAATAGAAAAAAATCTGCAGTTTAACGATGTGTATAGGTTTAAAAAAAGAAAAAGGGTATAGATAGTCATTAAAAAATAAATAGTTCAAAACTAATAAAGTCTTTAAAGAGAGAATAAATTTAAAAAAAGAGAACAAGAATACACCACACAAGGATGGAAATACTATAACAGGGAGTTTGGAGTGTATATGGTGCTTTATTGATTTTGGATGTTTTGAATGCTAATGAATAGAGAATGACAGCTGCTGAGAGACAATGGATTGTGGAAGGGACTGCTGAGTTAAATCAGCTTACATACTTGGCTTCAAAATGGAAGTCAGATAACGTGCTGCATTGGGGGAAAGGCTATGCCTTTGTTTACATAGGAAAAGAAAAAGTATGGTTCTCTTCAAAATTAGTAAAGATCAAATTTCATTGGAAGAGACCCCCTGAAGATCTTGGTTGGAGACATGAGGGAAAACGTCAAGAAAGACTGGTGCTGGGTAAACTGATCCCTCAACATGGAAACAGCTGAGACTGGATGATACATCATAAATCTTGTTGACTATAGAGTCCTCATGACTTATTATTACATGCCATCTTTTCATACGACATGGATAGAGGTTTGGTTATATAATCCAATGGACGTAAAAAGTTGACAGATGCCTTGTACCTGCTCAAAAATGGAACAAAAAAAATCATCTTTTAGCTGACTAGTGCACACCACACATTTCACACTTGTGTTAATAGCAGATATGTATGTTACCTTTAAAAGCTTATGTTTTCAGAAAGGAAAAAAGGACACCAATAAAGACAAGTTGCTCAGGTGATTTACCTTCTCAAAATGCCTTTCTTGAAGTTTCCTCAGAGTTCTGCATTCAGAACATTTCAAAGCTGCTAGCTGAGATGGTCCAGCATCACAGACTACTCTAGCCAGGACTTCAAATAAACCCACCATATAGAGACTGGACAACAAATGATACAGCTAGCTTTCCCAGGACTTGATCATTACCCCCAATTTTTTCAGGGTCCCCTAAAGATGTCACTCCCACCAGACAATAGGAAGCAGTCTACAGAACACAATGTCCACATCCCCAAGAGGTAGGGTGGGTGTTTTTGGTCATTCAGTGCATTAAGGATAATTGCCATTATTTGTGTGTGTGTGTGTGTGTGGGGGGCTGGTTACAAGTTGTTATTCATCATGGTCAGAAAAAGAACTAAATAAAGGAGATCAGATCCAGGGATCTCTTTCTGAAGGGAAAAATGGGGACTAGAGATAGGAATGATGGAATAAAAGAGTGGATTGTTGAGTCTATTTTTGAACAACCATTAGCTTCTCATATTTTACACTGGTATGGATTTTGTATACTGATGCAAATTTAAGTTTATTTAGTACTACTATATATATGTTTCTATTCTTGTCTAAGGTATTGTACCTATGCAGTTCATTTCAAAATATAATGTAAATTTCTAGTCCTTAAACGCTATTTAGAATAATTAAGCTTAGTAGTTTAGTCATCTATTACAATCAAACTTGAAGTCACACTAGATGTGTTCAAGGCCATACAGAGATATATTTTAGATAGGTAGATAGATGGCCTTCAAACACTTCAGAAACTTTAAGAATACGACATTTAAGATGTCTTAATAACATAAGGCTTTTCATGACAGTGAGACACATCTGTTCCCTGGAAACACCAATCTATTTCAAAAAAAGATGATGGGCATTGAAGAACCTTCATATGGAGTTTATATTTATTGTGGCAAAGTTAGCCAATGGGCAAGAAACTGCCCTTGCCTCGACTGCTGATGGTATGCTGTTCAAATTGGACAAGCAGGACACAAAAGTAGGCGACCGCCAAACTTTGCCAAGACAAGGTAGAGCAGTCCTTCAAAATCCCTGCTTCATAACAAAGTCTGTCAGATATTCTAGGACTGTAGGTCAAAGATGGATGACCCAATGTTGCAGAGGAACCTTGGGTGACTGTCCAGGCAGCCAGGTGTTTCTGTCATTTCTATAGTTTTGGAAATGTTTGCGTTGCACTTCCTGTTTACTCAGGTAATAAATCCTTTCCAGGTATCTGATAGAGTTGAAGAGGAGATAGTTAAAGTAACTGTTTTCTTTGTTACCAAAAAAAAGAAAGTTTCAGAAAAGAAACTTACATAAGAGACGTAAAGTTTACAGGGCTGACACACATAAAAGCTTAAGTTGTTTTTTGTGTTGGTATTATAAGTTAGGGTAACTTATAATAAAAAGTAAATTAGGTACAAAACTTGGATTGACTGATAGAACAGATAACGGAATATTTTCTCTAAATTTGCCAAATATAGATAGACTGACACTGTAAATATACTTCTTACTTGACAATTGTCCTTATTGTGTATAATTTTACCATATTAGAGTTAAAACTTTTCCTTTTTATTTAGACAAAAAAATGGGAGAAAATGTTGTGGGATATTTGTACACTGTGAAAATATATTGCTATGACTGATGTAATAAGAAGCTGAGCGGAGACCAATAGCTAGGCAGGAGGTACAGGCAGAACTTCTGACACAGAGTGAGGAAATAGGAGGAGATAATGGAGGTGCAGGGGGATACTAAGGAGATACAGAGGGAGTCAGACATGCAGAATGAAAGAAAGGTAAAAGGCTGTGAGGCAAAAACGTAGAATAATATAAATGGGTTAAATTATAAGAAAGAGCTAGTGGAACAAGTCTAAGCTAAGGCCAAGATTTTATAATTAGTAAATTTCTATGTCATTATTTGGGAGTTTGCTGGTGGGACAGAGAAAGACTCTTTACAAGGATCTGGAAAATGGCTCTGCTCAGCTATCCAGAGGACATGGATTCCAGTCCCAGCACACACATGGTGGCTCAACAACTATTTGTGTCTCCAGTTCTAGGGGACACAAAGCCCTCTTCTGGCCTCTGCAGGCACGATGTTCATATATTGTACATAGACAGACATATCAGCAAAACATACTTTCATATAAAACTAAACTATAAACAGAAAGAAATAGGCAATGGATCTGAACACACACCAATCCTTCCACCCTAAAAATGGCCAATAAAAACACAACAAAGATCAACCTAATTAACTATCAGGGAGATAGAAAGCCAGACTTGACACAAACTAGAGTCAACTGGGAAGAGAGAATGTCAACTGTGGAACTGCTTCTATCAGATGGGCCCCTGGACGTCTCTGGAGGCATTTTCTTGATTATCAAGCTTGATGTGGGAGAGACTGTCCACTGTGTGCAGTACCCTGGGCACATGAAAAGCAAGCTGGGGATGCCATAGAAGCAAGTCAGTAAAAGCAGCACTTCTTCATGGTCTGCTTTGGTTCCAGTTAATGCTCTGAGTTCCTGCCTTGAGTCTCTCAAGATGCTAGTGTGGTGGCTTGAATGAGAATGGATCCCAAGGCTCCTATTAGAATATTTGGTCACTAGTGGATGGCTGCTTGGGGAAGATTAGGAGGTATGTCCTTGCTAGAAGAAGCATACTACTGGGAGTGGGCACTGAGATTTCAAAGGACAGGTACCACTGTCAGTGTGCTTTCTGTTTCCTGTTTGTGCATCAAAAAGTGTGCGCTCAGCTTCTGTTCCAGGGCCATCCCTGCCTGCTGCCTCCTGTCATGAAGACGATGGAGCCCTACCCCTCTGTAACTACAAGTCCCAAATAAACTCTTCCATCTCTAAGTTGCCTCAGTCTTGGAGTTTTATTCCAGCCACAGAAAAGTGACTAAGACACAAAGCCTGGAAAGTACAAAATGAAATAGACTCTTTCCTCCTCAGGCTGCTTCTGGTCATGGTGCTTTGTCACAGGAGCCGATAGCTGAAGACAAACAACTGTAATCAAAAAGCCAAGTTTGAGAAAGGAAGGAGAAAATAAGGAGCCCTCAATTACTTCTAGTGGAACTAAAATGGTAGTTACTCTGGGAAACTATCAGGCAGTAATTCAAAATACTAAACATACCATATCAGTCAACAATTCCATTCCTATGTAAAATAAATTTTTTTAAAAGTCTACACAAAATAGTACATGGATATCCAAAACAAGCTAAAAAGCAGCAATGCCTATACTAACTGGAGGGCGAATGAAGGTGCAAACCCATACAATGGACTACTATTTGGAAACACAAGGGATTTAAAATGTACAGAAGACAAAGACCAAAACCATTAAACTGGAAAGAAGCCAATAACAAAAAAGATTATGAAAAGATTGTAGTTGTGTGAAATGTCCGTAACAGACAAATCCATCGTACCAGGAAGTAGACAGTAGCACCTGTTGCACAATCACAATAATCTCAAACTTTACACTTCAATAGCATGAATTCAAAGATATGAGAATTAACCCCAAAGTTGCCCAAAATGTACAGCATTGCAATTCCTCACCAACTGTAATCTACTTGAAATCTCTTTAATGTGAAGGAGAAATATCACTAAAAGTCAACGGTAAAGTTACTGTTTTACAGAAATATTAGGTTATTTTATGGTCAATTGGGAACTGATTACTTACAGACACTGTGAGGGAATCTTGTATATCTTTATGACTCACTAGCTGAACATTACCATCTTCATAATAATGAACCTGTTAGAGAAAGAAAATAAAGCAAGCATTATAGAAATATGGTTTTTAGGGCACTAACACTTACACCAACAGACCAGTTTCACCCCATGTTCACACTTTCCCAGTGGGCTTTAGACTGATAGAGACCTTTGAACTCCATCAGTCTTAAGTCCAGAAGGAGACTAAATATTCCTGCTATTATTTACAAATTCAACAATTGTCACAGAATATTTTACCTCAAAGCCACTCTACTGTTGTCCAAATCTGAATGTCTAAAACTGATCTCTTCTGGCTGGGGGTGGTAGCATACGCGTTTAATCCCAACACTTGGGAGGCAAAGGCCAAGGGACTTCTGTGAGTTCGAGACTAGCCTGGTCTACAGAAAGAATTCCAGGGCAGTCAAGAATGCACAGAGAACCTGTCTCAAAAAAAAGAATACAACAACAACAATAAACCCTAAAAACAACAAAACCAATGTTCTCCAAATATTGCTTCTTTGTATATTTTTTACCAATTACTTCCCCCAAATTTAGAATGAATTTACTCAATAAATATTAACTGACTCAATACTATAAATAGGCTATATAATATTGTAAATACATGGCCTTTAAAAAGACTTAGTTCCTAACTCTACAATACAATACAAGCAAGCACATTAGCAGATTCTCTCAAAGGAATAAAAAAGGCTTTGAGATAAATTATAGAATTGTGGCATTTTGTAACAGAACTACACAAAAAGCAGGAATAATGAAATAGCTGAAGATATAAATACACAGGTAACACATTAGTCAGCTTTGGGCCTTGCATGTCATAAATATTTCTAGTGTGGATAAAAAATGGTGTTAAACTTGAAAGGGACAAACACAGATTTAAAATTTTAAATTATCTCTGGTGAAGGCAATGGAAAAAACAGATCAGGAGATATAATGGTGGGGTTTGCATAAGAACAGTATAGGTACATATACTGAATGCTTGGACCTGAGTTAGTGGAACTGTTTGGGAAGGATCAGAAGGTGTGGCCTTCTTGGAAGAACTGTGTCTCTGGGGGCACTTTTCAAGGTTTTAATTTATTTAATTTTACTTTTGGTATTTCAAGACAGGGTTTCTCTATGTATCTCTGGCTGTCTTGGAATTTACTTTGTAGACTAGGCTGGCCTCAAATTCACAGAGATTTGCCTGCCTCTGCCTCCCCGTGCTACGATTAAAGGTGTGTGCCATTACCACCCAGCTCCTTTGAGGTTTTAAAGGCCTTCACTATTCCCAGTTAGCACCTTGTGCTGATGAATCAGGATGTAAACTCTTAGCTCTCTTAGTACCATGGTTGCCTGCTTACAGCCATGCTCTGCCATGAGGGTCATGGATTCACCCTCTGAAACTGTAAGCCCAAATAAATTCTTTCACCTGTAAATTGCCTTGGTCATGGTGTCTTTTCACAGCAATAGAAAAGTAAGAAAGACAGGGAGTAAACTAACAAAATAAACTTGCAGTACATGTTAAGTACTATGCTAAGCATTGAAAGTAGATTGGGACAAGCAGGTACAGCCAGCGGCATCATTTTTGAAAGTTATGTAATTGTCCAGGTAAGAGCTACTGAGGCCAAAGTGAAAGGGAAAACATTAACAACGACAACGGCTATGCAGAGTTCTTTGTGTCTAACTCTAAGCACTTTACACACGATCTAATTCCCAAACAATCTAAAAACATTTAAACTGTTTTCAACAGAGGGAAATAAGATGACATGTTTCAGTACTCTGATGCCTTTACAGTTTTAAGCATATAGCTAATTTTCACAATGGGCAATGCTGTGATGCGTGAACCCAAACAAAGATTAGCCAGCACATTTCTTTAATTTATATACAATATTAATATTCAAACACGCACTTACTTATATCAAACGTTCTATATAAATAATGAAATTTACATAATAACCAGAGTTCAGTTCTAGTGCATCTCAAACAAGAAGTTACTTAAAAGTCATATATAATATAGTAAGATATGTATATATTATTATGCTTCACCTAACTCCATTTATTTCAGATTACAGAAGAACACACTCAATTCAAATGCTTAACTGAACAAAGTGTATGAAGAGGAGACCAAATGGCAGCATCTAATTTTAGCCCTGTTTTAGAAACTGTCAGCTATCCTTGAGGACATTAAATGACTAGGGAACTAAATGACAGGTTATTTAAAAGACTTAAAGCACTGCTTGTTTTTTCCATTGCTCGAAAAGAAAATATCGAAAGGTTATGGTGTATTATGAAAGTATAAGCTGCTTAACCGTGCCTTAGTTCAGAACCTTCTAGGGATCCTTAAATAATAATCGCTGTATCTCATACCTGAATTTTCAAGATGCCAACCACCTGTGTGGTGGAAGGAGTGACTGTAAACTTCCACTCTGACCTCCAACGACCATTCCTTAAAAATAAAAACAGCAGCTGTAAATAAGGGTAAGGAAAATATTTTGAATCAATATTGTTTCAGGATTAAATTTAATGCTACAATGTGTAAGAGAATAGGAGAAAGACACTGGGCACAGATTTTATAACCACTGAAACATTCAAGAGATTCAAAGTTTAGTTTTAAGACACATTAAATCTTTGCCCAAGAAAAGACATACATAATAAATATAATTCACAATTCTAAAACTAAAGTTTAAAATATACTTTAAAACTAACATAAGAATTGTTTTAACATGTATATACATACGTATGTATGTATGTATGTATTTTGTGCATATGTGTATGTATTCATGTGCCACCTGATGCATGTGGAGATCAGAGGGAAACTTGGTGGTTCTCTTCCTCTATTATGTGGGTATAAGGAAACACATTTAAGAGCATCAGGCTTGGCAAACAGTTGCCTTTACCTGCTGAGTTGAAGTTTAAGAGTCTTAAACTACTTCTTTTTGTATGTTTGCATAGGGGAGATATATATGTATTCAGGCACATGTATGGACAAGAGGTCAACTTCCGATAATGCTTCTAAGGAAGCATCCACCTTGATTTCTGAGACACCGTCTCTCACTGACTCAGAGCTTACCAAGTATGCTAGGCTGGATTATTAGAGAACCCCAGAAGTCCATCAGTTTCCCCCTCCAATGCTCTGAGAAAGAACCGTCACCCCTACGGTGGGGATCAAACTCATATCCTCATGAAATATTAACTGAGTTATCTCCCAGTCTCTTAAAGTGATTTAAGAAGTAACTGAACTTTTGAAGGATCATGGGTTATCTCCAAACACAATGGAGTTGTTTTACATTTTCCAAATGACACAAAGTAACAACAAAGAATAAGTTAGATTTTGTTAACTGGAAAGAGTAAATACAGTTGTCTTTTCCAACATTAGGTTTAAGATTTCACACAAATGGCAGGACTTTCAAAAGGGTTTTTGGTACAGGTATACAAAATAACACATTCACAGTAGAAAATTAATAACACACAATTAACCAATTGTGCATTACTCTTTTCATTCTATTTTTCTGACACTCTTTGCACAGAAATCTTCTTTAGACACGTTTTCTTTGTATACTAATAACATTTATTATGCTTTTCTGAGTTTTTTTTAAAAGTTTCTATTAATGGATCATTATATGGCCATTCACCATAAAATTACTTCTGGTTTTTTACTCCAGGAGAAGCATCTATTTAATGACAAAATCCTCATATCTATAATCAATACACATCATCTGAAAACTATTAAGGCAGCAAAAGATAATATAATGAAAAACATGTTTCCACATTCAAAGAAGCTTGGCTGCAAAAATCTAAATCTCATCATTTTTGTTTCACATTTCCAAAATAAGTTATTTCTTTTATTAAGACATTACACCAAGAAAGCACTGAGCCCTAAATACATGCATTACTCTGAGAATATACATATACTGCCTCAGACCATGCGAAGAAAAATAGAAATTTAACTCACCACAATCTGAGAATAATTTCAAAATGTTCTTCAAAAAGTATTACTGCACTGAGTAACAACACCCTTTCCTCAACAGAGTAAATGGCCATCATGTCTTAGACTTAACTAAGTCTATAGCCCTCTTTTATTCTGTAATTGCAAATGTGTGCTCCTTCAACTATATTTATTAAGTTCCTAAATACTGCCATACATGAGGAAACGAACGTGAAGATTTAAAGTGAAGTGTCACAAATTCTTCAGACCCCTCTTCTTCTGTTTTGTCTCTTTGTTTTAAAACAGGGTCTTCACCGTGCACAGGTGGTCCTTAATCCTGCAATCCTTGTGCCCTGGCCTGAGTGCTGGGACTATAGCTGTCCACTACCAAGTCCAGCCTAAAATTTATTTTTTTCTACAAAGTGAAAATCATTTTTAGCTTCAAAGATACAGTATTCACTGTGATAACTTACAAAAGGGGTCAGTATGTAAAATGAAATAATGAAAATAGAAAACTCCAGAGATTTAATTCATTTCCTATATAGTAAAGCTCAAAGGAGTTTTACTTTTGAAAGCTAGTAATAAGTTCCCAATAGATTTATAAATAAAGATTACTAAGAATTTTTATTTAATAGCTCAAGCTCAACAGTTGACTTTATTTCCTGGCACAAAAATATAAATAATAACTTTCTAAAGATTCACTAGTTTAGGGTTATGGAGAAAAGACAGAGAACCTCTGTATGTTATCATCCTTAGGAAGCTGTAGTCTGTCATTTAGGCATATATTTAGATATGGATGATGGATCTGCATTCCTCCAAATATTTTTGATTAACCTTTATGGAACCTGATATTTATTTCTGACATGACTTAATAATAGAGCAGCGGCCCTGGGTTAGGACCCAAGCTGGTCTAACTGGGGACACTGACACTTGTAACTTTACCCTAAAGAGTATCCCCAAACAACTTGGTTAATGAATCAAAACTCAACATACTTGAAAGGTAAACAATATTTTCATCATATTCACTCTGATATTCATAATGTATTAACAAAAAGGGGTGCAAAACTAAGATTTCATTCCATTTTTAATACACAATCTCAGAAAAAATTCAATTTCCAAACACCTGATTAATAGGGAAAATAAATGTGGATACAAACTGTTGTGTACACAGTTATAAAGCATGATTGTAACTTCTTACATTTCCAACAAAATCATGCCCACAAAAAATATCTAACCTAAAAGTCCCCAAGTTTAAAGCCCTTAGGTCTTGTTTTTTTGTTTTAACATTTCTGTTCTCTCTCCTGAGTAAGGCTCACACAGAGCACCCTGTTCTTAGCATGGGCAGACGGCCCTACCACCTGGTCAGTTTGCAAGCATACCTGCTCACAGAGGTTGCCCCCTGTTCCTGTCCCAACTCGTTCTGCTCTCCTATACTCTGTGATGAATGTCATCAGATTTATTGCATTTCAAATAACTGGGATTATCATTATGAAGCAAGTTATCTTTCAAATTCTCAAACAGCAGTAGTTTTTCCCTATCAAGTTTCTATCACTTTTGGTCACACACAGAGTAGAGTCTGATTTACATGGAATATAAACAACGTTAAAATTAAGTACACAAAACGTTAACTTACCAAAAGTTTTTTGCTTGGAACTGATGGCTTTCTATGCATGCAATAATGGTCTGTTGCCCATCTATTTTTTTGCCATACACCTATTGGCAAAGAAAACAAGAACAGTGAGTTTACTTAGGGCCACAAATGCCTAACTTTAAGCATCTATAAGGTACTGTAGAAAGTGGGTATAAACCATGATGTATAGTCGTTTTAGCTTAGATGCCTAAACTCTATTCACATTAAATGTCTGAAAGATTCCGAGTGGGGGATTGTGCAGGATCTTATTTGCATTTCTAAAGATCACTATGGCTATGGGGAAGACCAAACTCGGGGGCTAAAGAATCTATCTGAATACAGCAATCCTAGGAAAGTTCAAAAACAAAAGACATTCAGATTTCAAGTCAATAAACAAATAACATTAAAACGGGAAACTAAACTATAAAATACTTGAAATAATTCCACTTCCAAACTTTTTATTTGTTCTAAGAGTTCTGTAACCAAATTAAAAGTTCATTCAGGCTGATGAGACATGAACAGAAGACTACAGAGAGTGCCACCATTTTCTTTAATCCAGTGTCTGAACCGAATTTAATCTCAATTTAACTGAACTGAATTTAATGCAAAATTATTCTATCATTTGAGAATATAGTTTTAGAAAGATAAACATTCTTTGAAGAAAAAGTTAGAACTTATAGCTGTTAGCTCTATGCATTACTGTAAATTTCAGGGAATTACACAAACTGTCTCCTATGTGTTAGGAACAGAAGGGACTCACAGTGCAGACCCCATTCGGGTAATGTTCTTTCACGTAAGCTCGCAGTGCAGTCTCTACCGACGTTCTCCACGATTCAATCGCATTTTCTGCTTCATATGGCCTTGGATCAGTTGCTTCTTTTCTTAAATGATCAAATTTGAAACAAATTCTGTTTTTTGGATCCAAAAACTTTCCATTTCCCAAATCTCCATGTTCTGTTATCAACACCTTTAATTTTCAAATGAAATTAGGAAAACAATATTAACATGGATACACAGTCACAAACTTAAGCCCCATTCTGAAACCATACAATTATACTGTAAGCAACTGCTTTAACTATGTTGTGCAAGTATATTCTTTTAAAAGAGTAGGCCACAGAGATACCAGGGATATTATTCTCAATCAGTGTACATTAGAGCTTCTTTCACTACAATTTTTGGATTCTAAGAGGGGAACTTGCTATCCAGTCACCCATCTATTCCCCTACCCACACAATGAACCACAGTTTACTATTTCTGAGAGCAGGCCCAAGCTCCTAAATACCAAGACCCTGTCAATCAGACGGTTTCAATCCAGCAAGACAGCTCTCCAGTCCTGATCTGTTTGGTGCCCACATTCTTTCTGTTCTCCAGCATGTGCTTTTGTTTCTTATAAACTAATCACTACTACTAATTTCCAAAACTTTAAAATATAGTTTATACATTTATGCACATTTAAAAATACATGAACAACCCTTTTATTCTGTGTCTTACTTAAAACAAAACAAAGCCCTTTTCTCCTGTAGTTGTACCAGTCTGTGACAGGACTTTCCCGTCCCTTTGATGTAAGTCATGCTGACAACATAGGATCTAGCTTTTCTAAATTTTTGTGGTAATAAATGTATGTTAGATAAATATGTACACACATGGTTTGTGGGTCAGTTTTCAAAGAATGATAAAAATACATATATAAACATAAACCTTTTTATGCATCTTGTTGGGCTGGCCCAGACACTTGGGCCAAGATGAAAATCATCTAAAATACCAAGATGGATGACCATGTGGAACCCAGTCTCATTGGTGAGAGGGAAACTGAAAATTCTATACTTTCCCCCGAGTCTGCAGATCCCTTGCCTCCTCAGAACTTAACCACAGTCTCCTGCTATCCTAAATGGCCAGAGGAAAACCCACCACTCAAACTCCGTGCAGTTTCTTTTCCTTAATGCTGTCCGGCTACATTCCTGCCCAATGAAAAGCACCCTATAAAACCTCAAACTCATTTGTCCTTCTCCTGGGGACAGCCTGGCAGTTCACAGATTGAATGAATAAAGCTTTGCCTTTTGGCTATAATACGGCTCTGATGGTCCTGTTCTTCTGTTAAGCCACTTAGACCTGGACTCTTTCTCAACACAAACACCTAAAGTTGCTTAAATTCTACCAGCTATCTTTCACCATCCTCTTTAATGGTTGCATAATATCCCATAGTGTTAACATAATTTAATCCACCAATCCATTACTGGTATGTCATTTTTTTATTTACAAGTGTTTTCAAGCATTTTCTTTTCTAGAGAAGGGCAAAACACCATTAAAAATGGTGAAGTATTGTTGTAAATGCTTAACACTGTTCTTATTTACAATACCTTTTAAACTTTAAATTTTAAAATTTTATTCATTTGTTTATTTGGTTCGAGATAGGGTTTTTCTGTGTAACCCTGGCTGTCCTAGAACTCATCCTGTAGATCAGAATGGCCTCTAACTCAGAGATTCTGCTGGGATTAAAAGCATACACCACCAACACCCAGCTAACTTTTTAAACTTTAGCTGACAAACAGCAATTATATTAAGATAATTTTTTGTTTGTTTTTGTTCTTTCAGAGACAGGGTTTCTGTGTTCACAACTCTGACTGTCTTGAAACTCGCTAGATCAGGGTAACCTCAAACTCAGAGATCCACCCCTTCTGAGGTCTGGGATTAAAGCCATGTGCCACCATGCCTAGCTTAGAGGACAGCTTTGAGACTCTGGCCACTCATTCCACTATGGATTCTAGGGGTCAAAATCCAGTTATCAATCTTGCACAGCAAGTGCTTTTACCCATGAAGTCACCTCACTGGCCACTGTTCGTTACAATCTTTAAAAGTTCTTAAAACTACACTCAATGTATGAAATTAGTATACACTACTTTTTAAGACATTTTTTGGTTTGAAGTACTGAAATTATGCTAGCTTGTTAAAATGACTTTAGAAGACAGTATATATTTTAAAAAGATGCATTTTCTAATGTAATAAATGTTCTTCTATGGATTTATCTAAAGACAATCATTGTCAATGTTACCAAGAATACAAAGACAATCAATGTAGTATTGCTTGTAAAGGTAACCAATTTAAAAGAAAAAATCCAACGGACCAAAATCTCTGAAGAAATGAATATAGCATAAAACATATTTTAAATTATGTGTATGTATGTTTGTCTGTCTGTTCATGTGAGTGTAGATGCTGATGGAGACCAAAAGAGGGCAGCAGATCCTCTGAAGCAGAAGATACAGATAGCTGTGACCTGTCTGAAGTGGCTGCTGGGAATCAAACTTGGGTCCTCTACAAGAGAACCCAGCCCTCCTCACTTCCCATCTACCTCTCTACTCACATTCGTGCAGAGCTACGTACGTTACCTTTTAGTTACAAGTAATCTGTCTCGTCTTACAGTTCTCCCCTTGAACCACAAAACTTAAGTTATATAACAATGTCCCAAAGAAGCAACCAAAGACTCTTTCCAATCTTTTCTCTTGTATTGTCCCCATGAGTTGATGCAAACCATGTAATTATGACTCAATAGAATCACAAGTCACTGACTATGACCGCTCTAAAGAACAACAACAAAAAATGGTAATGACTTTTTGTGGGTTTTGTTTTAGAAAAGAGAATACAAAAAGACTTGTAGATATAATCCAACTATTTTCTAGGAACGTTACTATTTCATGGTTTTGAATGTAAAGTTATTCAATGTAGCTCAGTCTATCTTGGTACTCACTAAGTAACTCAAGCTGTCCTTGAAGTACTAGCAATCCTACTGTATCTCAGTCTCATGAAAGCTAGAACAGGTGTAAGACATTACAGCTGGGTTAATGCTAAAAGTGATTTTCTGATAAATGAGCATTTCAACTATTCTGCCAGTAAATGCCTATGATTAAAATATTATACCATCTAATAATTCTTTCAGGATACACTTTTATAACTAAAACAAAAAGCAGTGTGATTTGTATTTTATGGCACATACCTGATCTTCATAGCCTTCAACTTTTACCGGTGTAAACTGGTCCAAGTTATACTGTGCAAATGCACTAAAAAAGAAAAAGTCCAATTATTCAACACCATACTAATATTTTTCAAAATCAACTGACAGTAAATCTATACTGTACATGTTAAGGTTAATAAAGCTGTAACTCTCTTATCTACAGCTAAACTATAGATATGGTTGTTTAAAAAAAAACAAGCAATGATATGCAGCTTTTAACTTAGCAAAATAAACTACAACCAGCATATATAAGTAGCCACTTATTAAAAGAACCTGGAAGCAATGACCACCAATTTTTAATGTACATATACAATTATTTAAGAAATTAGTCTACAGACTAGGTACTGTGATAATCACAGTTTCTATTGAGAAAAGTCTTATAGTTGAATACAAGAGAGAATAAATGCCTAATGAGAACACCTAGCCATAGCAAAAAATAGAAAGAAATATTCAAGAATTACCAATGCATTTTCAAGGAATTACAGTATCAAGGCAAAAGTAAAAACAGTAACAAAAATACCCCTAGAATAATCTCATCAATGTGATACTAAGAAATTAGGCAGGCTCTATCTTCTAGAAGGAGATGGCTCAGGGTAAAAGGGTTTACTGCACATACATAAGAACCTGCATTCAAATATCTAGGAACCACGTAAAGACACAGCATGGTCTGCAATCTGGTGCTGGGAGACAGAAAGGGGCTGATCCCAGGGGTTCACTGGACGGCAAGCCTAACCAAAAGGGTGAGGTTCAGGTTCAGTGCAACACCCTGTCTCAGAACATAAGGTGGAGAGCAAGAGAGAAAGAGACCCCATGTCAATCTCAGGCTACACAAACACACATGGGCAATTACATTTAAATATATATACATGCACACACATAACAAAAAGAGAGGGAAGGGAGAAGAGAGGGGATAATAGGAAGGGAAAAAAAGAACGTTTTAATTAGAGGGACTTGTAGGAAGAAAGGCTAGAAAAGGTCCAGTGTCAAAGAAAGCACCTAGCAGGTGCTCACTGGTATTTACTGAGTTACACTGGAAGGTCTTTTAGATTGTCTATTATCATTATGCTTGCTTGTGATGGCAGAAGGAGGTGTGTCATGCTGTATGTATGGAGGTGACAACTCTATGGAGTTTGTCCTCTCCTACCACCTGGACACGGGGTCAGGAGATTGAACTTGGGTCATCAGGCTTGCACAGATGGGCAGGAAGCACTATTACTCACTGAACCCTCTCACCAAACCCTGGAAGGTATCGAGGCTAGAAGAATTACTTTGAGAGACAAAACATAGTAACAGTTGTGCCTCTAAAGTCTAATGTGGCAGCGGTGCATACAACAAATCATGCAGTGTGGTGAGTAGATAACAGAAAAGCTGCAAGGCTATCAAAAAGCCTACAGTACAAACTTAGCCACGAAATGGTGGAGATATAGATGAAGGCCTCTTTTATAACTTAATAATAATGTATTTATGTGATAATTATGTAACGTGTGTAGGAAAGACTCAAAGTATGGAAAATTATATATAGAACTGCAACAGCATTGTTAAAATGATACTACTGTATATCTAGGAAATTGTCTCCACTTAACAGAACACTATTGAGAGTTTTAAACTTTAAGACTATATCTATTATAGGAGAGTAATAAATACAAAGACACCAAAGTAAAATTAAATTGCCATCTCTTGAAGGTCCCAACATAGAAGGAAGCAAACAAAGACTTGCTTTCAACTTTCTAACACATCAGCAATATTCCTAAGAATAGTCTGAATGTGGTCAGACTGTCAGAATTCGTATATGCAATGTCCACAAAAGGTTCATGTTCCACAGCTGGTGTGGCTACTGTGGGAGGCTGTGCAAGTCTGAGGAAGCGAGGACTAGGCTTGGGGAAGTAGGTTACCGGGTCATGGCTCCCAAAGTTATACTCATTCCCTGGTTCTGGTCTTGCTCTTTGCTTGCTGGTCCTTTGAATGGCCTCAGTTATAAGCTCCTGCCACCATGATTTCTGTATCATCATTTACTGGAACTCTCCAAAACCATAAGCTAAGTTGCTTATATCAGCTTTGTTATCACCGCAATGCAACCGTAACGAAGACACTCACTCACCCTTGAATTAGTTACTTCAAAGCTAAATTTGTAAATTCAATCACTTAGAGTTTAGCATTAAGTTTTTCTAATAAAATCTGTATTTTAAAACATATAGGCTGGGCGGTGGTGGTGCTGCACACCTTTAATCCCAGAACTTGGGAGGCAGAGGCAGGCAGACTGTTGTGAATTCTAGGCTAGCCTGGTCTACAAAGTGAGTTCTGGGACAGCTAGGGCTGTGACACACAGAAACTCTGTCTTGAAAAACCAAAACCAACCAACCAACCAACCAAATAAATAAATGAATACTTTAAGAAATGTAAATAGCAATTTAGTAGCAGGAGAACCTAAAGCCTTTTACTGCCCATAGTATCAAATCTCACTTATCTTTAACCTGGAGGCAGGAGTAGGAATAAGAGCAAACTGGAAAAACTAAAGTATGTGATAGGTTTTTATCTAAAACACTTAAAACAAATAAATGGTACAGTACAGTGCAAAAGGTACTCATAGTAGAGCAATCAGAATATATAATTTTTTTCCAATCCTATTATTAGCTAGTAAGAACTTCATTTACCTTATAAAACCAAGTTTGTTCTAGATGACTTCCAAAGTCCCTTCCAAAATAAGTACCTTATTCAGCATTTCAGAATCAGCCAAGGCTGATTATCAGCTTAGGGAGATAGCTCAGTAGTTAAGAGCATACACTGAACTTGAAGTAGTTTCTAGTACCCACGCTGGGCAGCTCACAACTGCCTCTAACTACAGTTCCAAGCGATTCAATATCCTCATCTGTCTTGTGTGGGAATCAGCAAGCACATGCACACACTAACATGCAAGCACAATCTTTTTTTCAAAATAGAAAGTGTTCTTTCTTTGGGTTCTGAAGGCCTCTGATATGTTTCTAGTATTCTACTTTATTTCATATGGTCTTATACTGGACATGCTGAATCTGATGAAAAAAATTCCTACAAGGCTTACTGATTTCATAATGGTGAATCCTGATATTCCTCTGTCTGCTGAATACGAGTATTGGGAGGTATTTCAAAGTGTTCTAGATTTAATATAACAGGCTCTTTCAGTGAGTCAGATTTTACTTGGACAGATAATGAAATTTTGGCTTTACTGAGGCATCAACTCTATCCACTCAAAAAAAAAAATAGCCCTGCTTTGTCCCCTTACAAAAAGACGGAGAAAGAAAGGGAGAAACAGAGAGAGAGAGAGAGAGAGAGAGAGAGAGAGAGAGAGAGACTAGAAAAGATGAAGCCACATCTTGTCTAAGTAAGGGAAGAAAACAGCACATGTAGGAAAGAGATACCTGCCCCAGAGAACCGGCGTGGGAACACAGGAAGCATTTGGTGATGCTGCCTAAACTTAGGCTCTACAAGCTCTGAAAAAATTTCTAATAGCAAGTGACAATCATTTCTTTAGAGAAAAGCTTACATTGAGATTTTAAAAGATATGCATGTTGTGTAACATGTACATAGTATATATGAGCGATGTTACATAGTATGTAAGACAGTGGCAAACACACAAAGAGAACTTTATTTCATATTTGTTCCTAACTACCCCTGTGACTTCTGAGTCTAATATACACATACATGTAAATGTGAATATTTATATAAGTAGTTGTGCAAACTTTACTGTATTTCAGAAACTCTATGTCAAGAACTAGACCTTCACTGTCACCTTTACAACATCTTTTCTTTCCCAGTCACTTTAACTATGGAAACATAAAATACTTACTGTGCTGCTCCTTCCCTGAGAAGATTATCATTATTAAGCAATAATCGAACATCTGAAAAACAATATTATGTTTTATATATTATTATTTTCTGTATGAATATTGCAAGGAGTACAGCTTGTTTTATTGAAGCATTAAAACTTCTTATACACATAAGATCAAAATAGTCTAATGACCAAACTATCCACAAATATGCACCACGGTACTTAAAAAGCAAAAGATTTTGATTAGGTAACAGAAAAGGAAATAAAAAAAGGTCAGTTTAAAGAGTTGCTGTAGGCAGATGCACAGCATCTCCAAGGAATTAAAGATAAACTGCAGCAGAAAATGGCCTGAAAATTCCCAGAAAATACTTAGGATCATGTTTCTTAGTTTGACAACACATTCACAGATTTCAAATGAGTTTGGCTTATAGAAAACATAATTACAGTTTGTGAGCAAGGGGCACCAACAAGCCTTCTGTCCTTTTATAATGTCGTAAGGAACAGATAAATACTCCCATTTTTATTGACTTTCAGTAGGTTTCATTTCCTGATAAAGAAAGCTCTGAAAAGGAAGACTATATCAAGCCTTAACATTACAAATTAAGCATATTATGGGGGTTCAAATGATTCAGCCGAAAAATTACTTGCTGTGGTAGTCTGACAACCTGAGCTAGATCCTCAGAACCCACGGTGGAAGAAACTAATTCACGTAAAATTGTTCTTTGACCTCTACCTACCTACCTACCTACCTACCTACCTACCTACCCACCCCCCCCCCCCCCCCCACACACACGTAGTAAGGTTTTAAAGATTTTAATGACTTACCATTAAAAACCTCATTAAATTCTCCTGGAGGGGCATGAATGATGAATTTTGCTGCTATACGTACCTAAGACAGAAATGAAGACATAAATAACATGGTATATTTTGCTAAAAAAACAAAATCCAAAAATCAATATTATATAAATTTCAAAATTCTTTAAAGGCTATAACATTTCTACAAACACAAGTTTGTTATTACTGATTTAGTCATTTAATATAATTACTTCAGGCCAAATAAAGGTAAAATATCTAATTTAATACAGCTAAGAATTTAAAGTTGTCTACAGATAAACATTTTCATACAATTTTACTTCTTTTAAAACAAATAAAGAACTCTTAAAGAAGTCCATATGTGAGAAAAGATGAAATTAGGTAGGTACACTGATTTAACTCAAAACTAAATAAATATAGGAAAACACTCCAAAATATGAATATCCTGGATGCTGAGAAACTTCTGATCCTAAGCATTTAGAATCTTTACCCAGATAGGCAACTTTATCAGCAAACCTATTCATGACTATACAAAGTACTCTTACGATTTAACAGGCGAAAACAAACAGAACAAAAAACTAAGCAAAAACATGTGAATGGATACTTCATCAATAGGATACGCACAAGACATGCACATATATGAAAAAGCAAGCTCGGTTTTCTTCATCAGAAAATGGATAAGAAATCAGGAACTATTACCCCATGCAAAACAGAAAGAGTAAGATAAAAAGATCGCTGGAGTGGGTTGAAGACAACTGCAGCTCCCTACAATACTTATAAGAATGTAAAGCTGTACGACAAATATAAAAAACATTTGGCACTTTTAATAAAGTTAGGCAAATACCCTAAAAGACAAAACTATCATGCCAAATTATTACCCCACATACAAAAGCAACTTACAGTCACATCAAAACTTATTCAAAATTATTCAAAACTGGAAATAATTTACAGCTCAAACATCCACTGGACAAACAAACTGTGGTACATCTATATAATGTAATTACTTAGCCATAAAAAAGAACTATAGATATATGAAACAACTTGAATTAATTCTAAAGTACTGCACTGGATTGAAAAGAGAAACTCAAAAGGTTCGTGATACTCTTTAAGACTTTTTGCATACAATATTCAACCTTAGTACATATGCTCTTGCACATCCAATAAGCCCATTTTATGTTAAAATATTTTTAAGTATTTAATTAATCTTACCCATCAAACCGCACAGCACGTCCAGCACAGTACACTATAGTGTTCAGTGTTCAGTGTTCAGTTTACTACCTCTGTGGTTAATTGGGAAATAGGAATCAGTCTTAGAAGCACAGAGGTTGTAATACCACAAATTCCTAGCCCTAGATTCAAAATCTGAACCAGGGTTTTCACTGAGCTCGTACTGCCCTTGCACCTCAAAGGTAAAAAATTGGGAGCAGTATCATCTCAAGCAGGGTCGTCTCTACAGCAAAGGAGTTTGGGACAGGGTGGGAAAGAGAATGAATAAAGGAAAGGAAGAAAATGAGGGCATTTGAATAATGCCAGATGGTGGTAGTGGGTTTATAACTTTCTACACATGTTAAAGGTCTTTCAAGTAAAGGAGTATACTGTTATTGCATGTCCATTTTGAAAATAAAAATATATTTCTTCATTTAAGAGTTATCACTAAAAGGCACATTATGTAAGCAGGATGTGTCTGTGAAATTTCCTCCTAAATATTTATATCCATCCATCAGTAAGTACTGCTATCAGTTTTGGTCAGAGAAGCTTTATTTTTGTTTTTTGTGTTTTGTTGTGTTTTTGCTGGGGATGGCTGTTACAGCAGAGATTCATAGGTGTCCAAAGTGCTGAGAGTTACTGTTGGATGCACTGCTCTAAATGGGACATCTGTACCACTCCCTTCAGACTCAGAGAATATTGAAGATGGGACAGTCGGATGTAAGAGTGGAGTGTTGTAGATCACTGTCTTCCAGGCATGCCTGGTCACTATACTCAGAAGTCTCAAGTAGCTGTGACACCTGCCAAGAGCTACATAAACCTGGGTACACAAACATTCCTTCATATATGGAAAGAGAAGCTAATGAGGGCTCAGTCTTCCCTGTGTATCTGTGGGTTCTTAATGACTGCCGGGGGAAGAAGCATTGTCTTCAGTGATGCAGCCTCCAGTAAATTGTCCAAGCTCCTGCCCCTCACCCATAATCATGCAAGGAGTGGTCTGTCTCGCTGACTTTGGAAAGCAGTGAAGTGGGGTTTACTACATGTAGGCCAAGCAAAAGAAGCATGCTTCAAGTGGGAGAGGCAGCTACGAAAAGCCTCTTGTAATTTCAAGATTCAAGGATGGTACCACACAAGGTAGAAACTACTTGATTACTGGTAGAGCTGCTTAGCCTTGAGACCCAATTCATTAAAATGACAGGGACAAGGTGTATGTATCCTAAGGAAGCTGGATGAGGAGTTAATGCTCACTTTCCTGAGAAATATAGGAGAGGGGAAGGATAGACACTATATGCACATGTGTGAGCACGCGCGCGCACACACACAGCATTTCTCACCTGCTAGTCCTAGGCAGAAAAAAAAAAACTGGACAAAACGTGCAGCCTTGGGGCTGAAGAGATGGCTCAGAGGTTAAAAGCACTGACTGCTCTTCCAGAGGTCCTGAATTCAATTCTCAGCAACCACATGGTGGCTCACAACCATCTATAATGAGATTTGGTGCCCTCTTCTGGCATACATGGAAGGAATGTTGTATAAAAAAAGTGCAGCCTTAGTATAAGAAGAAATTGTTTTCCCTGATACCCTTTAGGGGCACACAATACAGTTCCTCCTCCTCCTCAGGCTAGAAGAATTATCTCCAGGTGCCCCTACAAGGCATACAAAGGTTCTTAAGTCCTTGACCTAACTTCTGCCAAATTAAGCAATTGGTAGGTTGCCACATGCAACACACTGTCACCGGCAACCACCCCTTTATTAAAAATATATATATATATATATAAACCAATTTCCTTCATATATTGAGATACATTGCACATAATCAAAAGCAGTTCCTAAAGACTTTATGAATGTACAAACAGTCAAGCAGACAGCAGAATTCTATCACTGTATAAACTTACTTCACATCTCCCCGCACACACACACACACACAGAGACGGGGGGGGGGAGAGAAACTGACTACTAGTCTGAGTTATAACCCCCCCACCAAAAAAAACACCGATGCTAAGTCTTGGTCTTTTCTGTTTATTTGAGACCTAGCTGAAGGGCTGTCTACCACAACACCCTTTCTAAGCAGCACTGCCAAAATCCTGTGCTCTATCCCTGTGCCTTATTCATCCCTCTTTGCCCTGTACTCAGAACTGTTTTGAGGGCTCTTTCCCCAGGAACCGTGTTCAGTGCAGACCACTACTTTGGGCATCTTTTATCTTAAACCTCTAGTATCATGCTAAGATCGGTAAACAGCCCATAAATACTGTCTGGTTAGATGGATACATGTTAATTGAACCTAACATTTATGAAATGCTCAAAAATTATAATGGAGAATTCCCAAGGCTTCAGCTTAGCAATACCTAAGGAATGCAAATTAACTGTTAGGGGTTTTCTAAGGAAACAGGATACAGATAGATACAGATTCTTATTAACTGGGAATAAAGGGAACCAGATTCTGGGGGAAGATTTTATTCCATGGTAAAACCCATTTTTTTTGTATGCTGTGGTGTTCTGAATGAAGCATGTCCCCCACAAGATCACGTATTTGAATAATCGATCCCCTTCTGGTGGCACCATTAGGAGGTAAGATCTTGCTATAGGAAGTATATCATAGGCTTTGAAACATATAACCACACCCCGATCCCTCTGTGATAAGCCAGTTTCCTGCTCCTGCTGCCCTGCCCTAGCCCTCTGAAATCATAAGCCAAAAGAAACCTTTTCTTCCTCAAGTTTCCTTTGGTCACCACAGCAACAGAAAAGTAACAAATATACCTGCTAGCCTAAAAATGAAGAAAAGGGGAAGAAAAGGCAAGGGCAATGCTGACTACTGTGCTGTGTCTGCTAAGCTCTATTATGACACTGGAACTGTTTAACCTCCTCCCTCCCCAGGGAAAGAGCTGTCAGGAAGCATTAAAATGTAAGTCTTAGATAAGACCACAGTTAACAACTGAAAAATGCATGTTAAAAAATAATCATATATTTATTTTATAAGCTTAAGACTTGAAGTCGCTTTTTAACATTCTTAATGACATGTTACATACAGAGCTGTCAGAATTAAAATACTAATATCAAGTAGAAAATATTTTAATGATACAAATTAGTAGCTAAGATTTTAAATGTTTTGTTGTTTCTAAACAAAGGTATATACCTCTCAGAATTTGTCAATTTTATTTTAGTTTTTACTGTGAAAGAAAAAGTGATTTAATTTTTTTGTTCAACAGACTTACTTTCTTCTTTTATTGTACTATGTAACCAAAAGACAGTAAGAGCCTTCTCTTCCATCCAAACTGAATGGTAGCCCTAAAGAGAAGCAGCAGGACCAGGAGGCCAGGGTAGAAGACAAAGGCTCAAATTCTTCTACCTGGATTATACATCTAAGCCCGAAACATTTAAATCTGGACTTTGTGAAATTTCTTAACTTTACATTTGGATTTCTCAAATGATAAAGTAACAAAAATGTGTCTACTACAATGAAAGAAAATACCATCTTCCCAAGATAAATTGTTAGTTCAGATAAGCAAGCAAAACACCCATACCCATATGATACAAAACAACAACAAAATTACTGTACTAGTGAGATAGTGCAGCAGGTAAAGGTCCTTGCTGAACAATGGTGACTGTTACAAGAGCAACCACCAGCTCTCTGATTCTGAGGTCCATTCCACAGAAGAATATTTATACCTAGCAATGTAAATCCAGCCAAAAACCCAAGGGCAAAGAAGTCTGAGGCCCTAGTGGAAACTTACACTACTGTATAGCTAAAGTGACATGACCCCAAACTGCCTTCTAAATATTTATGTTTATACGCAGAGACAAATTGTTCTCAAGCATTAATTAAAGAAGCCTTACTTTGCAGTAAGTGGAAGCAAACGCTGAGACCCATGCCTG